AAAAAAAAAAAGCACATTTCGAAAAAAAATCACCAATAAATTGGGGGTGAATATGACAATTTACGGTTACTGTTATAGATATTGAGGTAGTCCAAGGGGTCGAGTGGGCTGTAACGTGGGCTTTGCAGACATAACAAAATCGGGCTTAAAAAGAAGCCCACRAAATAAACCGTGTGTAATCCGCGTAGCGTACATAACTGCTTCTATAAATCGCGAAATTTTCATTGATTCTGTTTCATATACTTCCCGCCTTCTTCAGTGGCTTTGCTTTCTCTGTTCTTTCTTATCGGATCTCTTCTCTGTTTCAACCTCTGAATCTCATTCTTCTCAGTTTTAGGGTTTCTGCATCATGCTTCATCCTCTGAACTTCACTAAATAGAGAAATTTTCATTGATTCTCTTCCATACACTGTCCTCCTTCTTCAACGGCTTCGTTTTCTTTGTTTCTCACAGGTTATCTACTCTGTTTCAGCCTCTGAATCTCTATCTTCTGTCGCTAGGGTTTCTAGGATTTCTCTGTCATGCTTTGATGCAATTTATGAAATACATCATGAACTGACGGCAATTCCAACACCATTGTGGTTCTTGTGAGATTACTATGTTTTCTTTCGCCTTTTCCCCAGTAGGTATAAGCAATTTCATCTTCGATTTTCAGATAATTTTTTTCCTTCAATAATTAGGGTTTACATTGTGTAACTGTGCACAGGATCGTGGGACGAACGGATAAATTTCACTCACTTTGCGTTTGCCAGAATTTTGTGTATGTTTGATCTCGTAGAAATGACTTCCTTCATCTTTGGCCACTACTAAGTATTGAGGTATGAATTTCTTACTTATGTAGATACATTTATGCATATTTATTAGTACAATGTTTGAATGTACATTAAAGTACACTTTCCTATACTTTTGAATTTCTTACTTACTGTGATAGAAGAGGTTTAAGCAACTACCCAACTCTTACATTTTTACAGTATTTTATGTTGTGTCATTTTTTCTTTATTAACTTTATAATGCCAATTTTTTTGGTCACGTCTTTAAAGGACATCATAGGAAACTATTTTCTTGTTTCTTCCAATAACTTTATCATAGGGTAAGAATCCAATTCATTGTGTTGCGCCTGCTGCTATACCGTATTTTCTGAAAACTTCAAATACTTATATTGTAATCCAATTCATTGTGTTGCGCCTGATAAAGTTTTGTCGGAATCCAAATTCCATCTAATGTGCTCCATGATTTACTTTGTAGAATAGATTTGGAATTATTATTGTAATTGGAATATTGTATATAACGTATTTGATCAGTGTTTAGATTATTGTATTTGCTTTGGTGTACACGTTATTGATCTCTTTTGTTCTTTATCATCATAGTAGGGAACAACCTTTACAATGACAGTACGCCATTGACTTGATCTTTGAGGACTTCTTCACGATGACATTTGAGGACTTCTTCCACCAAATGTAGTGTCTTCAGTGTATCAAATTGAATGATTCAGTAAGTTCTTAAGATTTTAATGTTATTATGCAGAGCCATTTAGAATTGAAGACCATTTATTATATATCTCTCTATTTATGATATTCTTCTTATTACTACCTCTGGACAAGAATGAAACAACGTCTTCCATGAGATCCTGTTACTTAATACGTGGCTTCAATTGTGTAATTATCTTCAGAGAGTGTGAGAGCATGACAAGCATGAAAATAGTGCTCTACTTTTTTCGAATTCTTTCAGTGTTACATACTTTTATTCTTGTTTAATTTTATGTCTATATTTGTTGAATAATTCATAAATTTGGAATTACTGTTATCAAAATCTCTCTTCGTTATTGAACAAGATTATCCTTGTTGTCATCCATGGTGCACGTTCAATATGGCAGCCTTGAATTACTTTCAATAATATTAGAGCAACATACCCTCAACTGTTTACTGTGTTTCTTCTTGAGTTTAGAGATAGTATCTAAATTATACCTTTTATAACTCGTTGTTACTGAAAATTTATAATGAGCAGCTTTCGACTTTTGCATCTTGTTCTTTAAATTATCTTGTATTTGAATTTGTGAAATGGACAACAGTTGCCTTTTAACTCCTAGATAGCATGCTGAGATATTTCTTTCCAAGAATTAAGGTTTGATCACGAATTCTACTTTTTCTTTTAAGAAATCCTACGATACTTACTTTTTTTCTCAAGTAATTTTAAAAAATTGATGACATTGTCTACAAAATGCGGTTTGATGATATCTCCCATCCTTTTCCTGTTGACAAAATACAATTTTCTCAATTGATTTGAAACACTTCAATTTTAAAGTTGGTCATCCATTGAAAACTGAGAAATATCGAATTTTCACATGGTTTGACTTTCTCAGCGGACATCTATTATCCTTATATTGTAATATAGTTTTTTTGCAGTGTCATATTCTTTAATGGATGCATTTGTTTTTGTCATGATTTATGTCACATGTGACTGTAATAGGTTTTGATTGCTCACATTGAGGAGTATGCAGCAATTGTATTACACAGCAACTGTAGGTCTCGTTTGCCAGAATTATGGTGGCTTGTTTAGAAGACCAAGGGGAATGTATTTCAGTGCAGCCGATCGTGGAGAAATGATGTCTATGGTTTATAATTGAGCCAGATGTTATGTTCTTTGCATCCAGTATTTGGACTTTCAGAAGTCGTTCCTGCGAAGTGGTAATCCTAATGTGGTCTTCCTTAATCAAAGCTTTTGGTCGGTTGCTCTTCTAAAAATGTGTAAGTTCAACCATTGAAGTTTATTTTTWTTTTTATTTTAAGATATTTCTTCAAGAAGAAATATGAGGGATTAACCGGCTGAAATCTGCTCGTCTTTTCTTATGTTTTGATGATTTGGAGCATGTTTCTTATAGCTATAGTTTTGTGTTTTACTATTATTTTTTCTCTTTAAAATATTATACATATTTGTGTTTGTTTACATTCATCTAATGAATTTTATTTTTCGCAATTATGAGATTTATATTGATGTAACTTGTATAAATTTAATAAAACATTTAGGAGATGTTAGGAATCTTTATTCTCATTTTCACAGCTAATAATTTTTCTTTTTACATTATAGTGGATGTTGAATTATTGGAAATATGAAAACATTAATGAAAATGCTAACATGCCAATAAATATTTAATTACCTGCTTAGAAAAGCAAAAATTAAATATAAACACTAGACACCTGGTGATATAAAATAGCAACATTTTGTTAAAAAATAAAAACGGAAATCACATGGGATGAAAATGGAAATAGGACAGGTTAATTGTGGGCTTGTCTAATGGGCCGAGAAGGTACGATATGGAAAGCCCATAAGCCGATGCGGAGAAATTGGCAATATGGGCTGGGCTTTAAACAGCAGCCCATGAAACTAGTCCGCGTAGCGTATGTTGTCCGAAATTAAATGCCTCTATAAATAGCGTAACATTCAGTATTCTCTTGTATACACTTTCCTTCCCGCTCTTCTTCAATGGCTTTCGTTGCTCTGTGTTTCGTTTGTTCTCTTCTCTGTTTCACCCACTTAGCATCTCACATTCTCTCCCTAGGGTTTTTAGGGTTTCCGCTTCATGCCTCATCGCTGAAAATAATTACTTTAAGTAGCGATGTTTCATTTTTGCATAGGATGAATAGCAAAATTTTCTTACTTCGCTTTTATACATTCCCATCAATTACTACGCTTTCTCTGTTTCAAACTCTGGATCTCAGTTTTTCACAGTGGGAAATTAGGGTTAGCAAGTTCTGATGCAATTTTCCACGCCGTTGTGGTTCTTCTGCATTGCAAGTAGAGGTTGCTCTGTTTCTTGTCCTTTCTCGTGTCCGTTTCATTATGTGAATTTTAGTTTTCTCTCGCTAGTTCTTTTTTCGGGGTTTTAGGGTTTTTGTACAGTTTTTTTTAAGCAATTTGTAATACAGTGTCTTCTCACTGATATTGCAACGCCATTGTGGTTTGTCTACTTTGCAACGACATTGCGGTTTTTAAGTTTTTTGTTGTTGCGCACTTCGAAGTTACGGATGGAGGTTCGTGCACACTGGACGGTAAAATCATATGATGTCTCTGAATGGATTTTGAATTTAACGAGATCATATTCGTCAGAATTTCATTATCTTTTTCATTTATCGATCAACCTGTGGATTACCAGCGAAATATTGTTTTCAGCGGTGGACAAATTTTCTGGCTCGAATTGCGGCTGCACCGAACGTTGCGTTGGTATTCTGATCTCCATACTTTTTTTTTTTTTTAAATTTCAAATGACCTAGTCGGTTTGATCCTTACTAATTATTGAAAAATAAATTCCAGTTATTCTATATACTTTATTCATAAACTATCATTCTGCTTACTATTCCCTTCTCTCTTGTTTTGAACTGTTAAAATTGCAGGGGGAAGAGGGCCACATGCATTAATGGCGTTTATTTCAAGGCTTCAATTCTTCAGTTCAGACAATAACGTCAGAGTTGATACATCTTTACGAGTTTGTTTCTTTTATTGAATGATCCCAAATCTCTTTTTGTTGTTTTGCAATCAATTATTTGAAAAATAACACATTCAGTCATAGATCCGATTAACCAACATGTAAAGTAGCTTATCTTGTTTCTTACACAGCAATTGATTTAAGCATTTTGTAGTAGTAGATGAATTCGTGACTGATGTTACCAATTTAGTGATATGTCTTTATATATCAATGGCTGGAGGAAGTGGAGAAACTGGTGTGGATCGTTGAACTAAACAAGGGAATACCCAGCAGAAATTTAGCTTATTTATTAGACATTTGCCTCATTTGGAGTTTTCTATGAACATAAATAACTTTTTTTTCTTCTTTTTTAATGAACCAAATTTCTTTTCTTATTTCTATTATGCTTCAAGAGCTTCATATTGAATACTTAACTGGATCTTCCAAATAGTAATCCTTGAAATACTTAATATATATATTCAAGCTTACAAATAGAAGACATATATATCATCGATTAAACTTTGGAGGTACCAACCTATGTGTGTGAAATCGAGCATAGGCACGGCGTGAAGATGGTCCTTCAAAGACATGTTAGGGGAAGTACGGGAGGGGGGTCCACCACGAGACGTTCCTTCCCAAATATTCCCCTCCCTATAAATGCCTATGGAGGACACCCCATTTCGGAGGTAAGGCATACACATTACTAAAAATCACTAAAGTCCACATTTCTCTCTCTCTCTCTCTCAATTATTAGCTTAAGGCGTAGAAGGATATTTGGTAGAGCACCTCGCCACTTGGTTGAATATGTTAGTGGTTCGAATTTCGACATCAACATATACACACATACATATATACATATACATAGGGTTAAATAAATCAAACAAGTCATAATTTTTTAAAAATTTYCGATTTCACACTTCCACCCTTTTGTTTCTCTTCTCAAATAGTTTCAATGTATTAAAATGGTCAATTAAATCATTTCATAAGAAAAGATATGACTGACTTTTATTTACAAAAAGTCAATATGCCACTAATCTTTCAAAAAATATATTTAGAAATATGGGCATGCTATTAGGGAAAAAAAAAGATTTTGTTAAAGGACAGGTGAGCGTCAAGTTTGATTGATGAGCGGGTTATGTTTTATGGGCGTTGGGTATTCGAGTGTTTATAAGTAGGTACAAAACTTAATAATTTTTTTATTTATTTATAAAATGGCTTAATTTGAAATTATTGATGCATTAAATGTAAAATTGAAGATATTATATGTATTTTTGGAATATAACAACCATCATCATTTTTCTTTTGTGTGTGAGAAACTATATTTGTCCCTACCTCTATTGACTATTCTGCGTCTAATTTATTACATCGCTATACGATAATATAATTCTATACCTTTTTATCAAAAAAGAAAAAAAGAAAAAAATCAATTTCGCTCTCGCCTCTTTCTCTCTCAGTCTCGCGCAATATTACTCTGAGCTGCTCTGCATCTGCATCTGCATCTTTCCAGTTTTCGTGGAGAAGCCATAGAAGTGGAGCTCTATGACGAAGTGGAACTCTCTCTCTGCGTCGCTGATGAAGCGGCTGAAGCTACACTACCAGATGACGAACAGTATTCCGGCGCTAGCACATGCCAGATCCTTCACCACAAGCGAGGGCCATCGTCCCACCATTGTTCATAAGCGGAGCCTCGATATTCTTCACGATCCGTGGTTTAACAAAGTAATTCTTTCGCTGCTCTTTCCATTTCGCTCCCATTTGTTGTCTGATTCACACTCTAAGACACCCTTTGCTAGATGTAGGAGCGGCATCGTTTTTTCCAACCGAAATGATTAATTATTTGATTGTAGCTTAGAGCTTCTCGATTATGAATTACCTATGGTAACTAGAAAACTGTTTAACAAACAAATCAATTTCTACTAAAACTAAGTAAGTAAGAAAACGTTAGTATTGGATACTTTATTGAATGTCTTCCTTTTATAAGTTGTACTGATTACCGGGTTTGCACGATAAAGTTGGCGGCCGATTCCAGGTCGTTAGATTTGTGTTCATAGTATTCCATTTAAGTATGTATTGGCTATAAAGTTTTTCTTAATTATCTGCAGAAGTGGTCAACACTGATTTTTATTTTAATTCTCAATCAGTGTTCCAATTTGTTTATTTAATTAGCATTGCTCAATGTTTTATCGGAGGAAAAAGGAGGAGGTAAGCGAAAATTATGCACGCTATCTCATTTGGTATATATTTGATCTCGTAGAAATGACTTCCTGCATCTTTGGCCACTACTAAGTATGAGCATAAATGCATATATGGTATGGCATATGTAACGTATGTCCATATCTACATACATTCATGCATACTTAATAGTACAATGTTTGTACGTACATTAAAGTACACTTTCCTATATTTTGAACTTCTTACGTACTGTGATAGAAGAGGATTGGGCAGATACCCAACTTAAGAGTTGTCACGATCTGTCACTTTTTCTTCAATAACATTATAATGTCAATTTGTATAGTTTGCATCTCTAAAAGATATCATAGGAAACTATTTTCCTATTTCTTCCAACAACTTTATTATATGGAAAAAATCAGATCCATTATGTTGTACCCACTGATATACCATATTTTTGATTTATTGATAATGGTTAAACGAAAAAATTTCTGTTGCCAAATACTAGATAAAGTATTGTCGGAAGCCAACTTCCATCTAATGTGTTCCATGCTTCTTCATTTCATGGGAAAATGGGAGATGACTTACTTTGAAGAATAGATTTGGAATTATTATTGTAATTGGAATAGTGTATATAATGTATTGGAAGCTAGTTTTATCAGTGTTTGGATTCTTGTATTGCTTTGGTATGCATGTTATTTAAGATTTCTTTTGTTTTTTATCATCATGGTAGGGAACAGCCTTTACAATGACAGAACGTGACCGACTTGATCTTCGAGGACTTCTTCCACCAAATGTAGTGTCTTCAGAGCAGCAAATAGAACGATTTAGTAAGTCTTTAAAATTTTAACGTTATGTTGAGCCATTTGGAATTGAAGACCATTTATTATATATTTCTCTATTTATGAAATACTTCTTAGTACTACCTCTGGAAACTAGAATATTTTAACTTTGGATTTTGGAAACGACTTTGTACATGGCATCCTTTTACTTAACACGTGGCTTCAGTTGTGTAATTATCTTTAGAGAATGTGCTAGCATGACAACAATGAAAATGGTGTTCTACTTTTTTCAAATTCTTCCAGTGTTTCTTACTTTTATTTTTGTTTAATTTTATGTTTATATTTGTTGAATAATTCATAAATTTAAAATGGTCGTTATCAAAATCTCTCTTTGTTCTTGAACAAGATTATCCTTGTTGGCGTCCCTGGTGCACATCCAATATGGCAGCTCTGAATTGATTTCAACAATACTGGAGCAACATACCTCAACTATTTACTATATTTCTTCTTGAGTTTAGAGATAATATCTAAATTTACATTTTATTGAACTCGTTGCTATTATTTAAAATTTATCTTCTATATAATATACAGCTTTCAACTTTTTCATCTTGTTATTTAAATTTATCTTGTATTTGAATTTGTGAAATGGACAACAGTTTCCTTGTAACTCCTACCTAGCATGCTGAGATATTTCTTTCCAAGCATTAAGGTTGGATCATGACTTCTTTTTCTTTTAAAATTTAAATAATAATATCTGTGTGACTTCAATCTACATTACCTAACTCTATATATAGTAGTTAAGTTGGTTGGATGGATTAATTTACAGTGGTTGACTTGAAGAGGCTTGAAGTGCAAGCCAGAGATGGGCCATCAGATCCAAATGCTTTGGCCAAATGGCGAATTCTAAATAGATTGCATGATAGAAATGAGACAATGTACTATAAAGTGAGTGAGGATTGCTTGTCTTTTTTTACTTGCAAATTCTTGTTATATCAAGTGAAGCTAAGGGCTGAGTTATGCTCACTGACGGGAGTGACGTTTTTTTCATGGAATCAAATACATTTTCATTAGGTTATTCTGTTTTCTTATGTTTGCTCTAGTGAGTAAGAAATCCCATGCACCTTGCTTTTTTCAAGGGAGAGGTAATTAATACCGCAAAATTTTAAGAAATCGATGAAATTGTCTGCAAAATGCGTTTGATGATATCTTGCATCCCTCTACTGTTGACAAAATAAACTTCACCATTGATTTGAAATGCTTCAGTTTTAAAGTTGGTCATCCATTACCATTTAAACTATTATTGAAAACTTGAGAAATATCAAATTTTCACATTCTTTCACTTCTTGGCGTACATCTATTATACTTATATTGTAATATAGTTTTTTTTGCACTGTCATATTCTTTAATGAATGCCGTTGTTTTTCTGACGATTTGTATCAAATGTGACTGTAATAGGTTTTGATTGCTCACATTGAGGAGTATGCACCAATTGTATACACGCCAACAGTAGGTCTCGTTTGCCAGAATTATAGTGGCTTGTTTAGAAGACCAAGGGGAATGTATTTCAGTGCAGCCGATCGTGGAGAAATGATGTCTATGGTTTATAATTGGCCTGCTGACCAGGTTTTCTTCATGTATCTTTGATAATCAAAACATACAAGTCATAGTATCATTTCAAATTGTTCACAGAGTCCAAATGGTAATGACATTTAGGAATAGAACTCAATTTATTGAGTAAATTGAATGCAACATTTTTTTTTGGCAGGTTGATATGATTGTTGTTACAGATGGAAGTAGAATATTAGGTCTTGGAGATCTTGGAGTTCAGGGGATTGGAATTGCAATTGGGAAGCTGGATTTGTATGTTGCTGCTGCTGGGATAAATCCTCAAAGGGTAGGTTCTTGCTTCTCGATTTCTTATTGTTTAGTTCCCTGAGCACAATTACCAAGTAGCTAGTTATGTTTAGGAATTAATTATTTGGTTCAGAAACTTTTATTCATGTTCAAAAAATGATTAAACAAGGCAATATAAGATTTCGTAAAGAATTTAATTGTAATTAACATGGCATCCACTCGAATGCTATTTCACTCTCTCTCTTTCATGCATGCTGGAGGCAGGCCCTTAGAGATGTAATCCTTATTTATTTATTTATTATTATTTTTTTATAAGAAACCAAACTTTTCATTGAGAATAATGAAAACAAACGGATGTACACGGGCATGCAAAAACAAAGCCCTAAAGAGGGAAGCCAAACTAAAGGAAGGGCCTCCAATCCAAAAGAATATGACTTAACTGATAGTTACAAAACAATTTCGAAACAGACCCCCGTAAGGAAACATTAAACCTTATGAGGTCCCAGACAGACTCCCACTCTCTTTCCACCCCCCTAAAAATTCTATTGTTTCTCTCCAACCAAATCCCCCACATGATCCTAAAGAAACCCGCCTGCCAAAGGAAACTCCCTTTCTCACGGAAAGGAGAGGACATAAGCACTTCCTCCACCATCGAACCCCACTCTCTGTGACGAGCCCGAGAAATACCAACCAACTCAAAGAACCGACCCCAAATTCTCTGGGAATACTGGCATTGCCATAAGATATGATCAAGATCCTCGGAATCCTGCTTACAAAGAACACACCAATGTGGCCCCAAGCAAGCGACCAAGCTCTTTTGAATACGATCCATGGTGTTTACTTTCCCAAGTAAGACCTGCCACACGAAAAATTTTATCTTCTTTGGGATCCTCACTTTCCACAACGCGGTGAACGCTGGGATGCCGAGGGAAATCCTTATTAATATCACATAAAATGCCTAATTGGCAAGAAGTTGAGGAAAAAAACAATATAGACGAGGTTAATTGCTTTGATTACCAAACACTATAAAAATTGTCCTGTACAAGTTATGGGTTGTTTATGATGGATTCCCTTTGCGTTTGAGATTTATATTCTTTCAAGATTAGACCTAATCAATTAATTAGTAATTCCTATGTGTTTCCCGGCACCAAATATTGTTGGGTCAGGCAGTTGCTCCGTGAGATTAGTCGAGGTGTGCGTAAGCTGGTCCGGACACTCACGGATATAAAAAAAAATCTGGTTCATGATAATTCTGTTTCTTATTAAAGAAAGAAAACAAAATAAAAGAAAGAAAATCTGGTTCATGAATATTTTCTTAAAATTGGTAATGTTTATTTTAAAATCTGAATACACAGTTTTTTTTGGTGTGCATTTTGTTTGGGATATTTTACATCCGAAATGTTCTGTGGTGGTAGCTTAATTATGGATTTGTGGGGGAAGTTTGCTCACATGGATCCCAGAATGTGAATGACTAAGTAATTTGAGAATGGGTGCAGTAGTCAGAGTTCGGTAAAATACTATAGTATTGGTGTATGAATTAGATTAGAAATTACTAATTTCTTTGAGAATGACCTAGAATGCATAGTCCTACCACAAAGTTCCAATTCAAAGAAACAAGCTTTCTTGAGATTATTTTAAGTTTGGTTTATTATTTAAACTATAATTTTTTAATTGTCTTTAGATAGATGCCTTTTCATTGTTTGCTATTCTTTGTAACTTAACAAGCAATGGAACTTTCTTCTTGCATGTCACAATAGGTGCTTCCAGTCATGATTGATGTTGGGACCAATAATGAAAAGTTGCTGAAGGACCCCTTATGTAAGTGCTTCTACACTATTAGGCAGATAATGTGCTAAATCCTCATTTTTAAAAATTGTCATGAAAGTTTGATTTTTAATAATAATAACAAAACTTAATTCGCATTTTGATGCCAATCGTTTATAATCTATATAAATATTTTTTACTTGGTATATTTAAGAGAAATACCTGTACTTGCCTCATGTTTGAGGGATAATGAGCACAAAATGCTGTAAAAAAGCTGCTGCATGACTTCATGAATGTTCCATGTTTTAACCATCATATAAAATTTACCTGATACTGACACTGATACTGCAATGAGGTGATTTACTCAAGCTTACACATAATGGGGACTATGTTCATTCAAAATGAGTTTGACTACAACTATTTCAATCCTATCATGTCTAAAAATTGTAATATTGTTTTCATGAAGAATTATCATCCTCGAAACCTCTAAAAAATACTTGATACCCTTTTGTTAGGTGTAGTTTTCAACTTTTCATGAAATAACATCTTTAAACACCCAACAACATTTTTAATGCAATGTCGGGTTCATACTTCCATGCTTTAGCTATTGATTTTTATTGGTATAGAATTTTGAATTGATTCTTTTTTGTAGATTTGGGATTGCAAGAGCACCGATTGGATGGTGATGAATATTTGGCCATTGTTGACGAATTCATGGAGGCTGTATTTACTCGCTGGCCACATGTTATTGTTCAAGTAACTAGATTGCTACTTTGGTCAAATAATTAGATTTTATCCTTTTCGTATTTTATATTATGTTTTTAAAATTATTGCAATAACTACTTAACAATTGTTCAACAGTTTGAAGATTTCCAAAGCAAATGGGCATTCAAGTTATTGCAACGATACAGAAATACCTATAGAATGTTTAATGATGACGTCCAGGTTTTCCTTTGTGTCCCCTCATTCTGCTTCTTGGTGTTTCCTTTCTTTCTTTTCTTTTCCTATAGTATTTCTTTGTTTACCCTGATGCCTTGTACTATTCTAATATATCAACTTATCTAGATTTGTATGAGATTTTCTTTCTTGAATTTTTAGCTTTTTAGATTAGCATGTTCTTAATTTATGCATATTTTTGTTGAAACTTTATGGTGGCTATAGAATATACTGCCTTGTTTATATGATAATATATTTTTGTGTAGAGTTTGATGGTGTAACATAAGTTGGCTAAATTAGAGTGGCATTTTAGTTCTAAAAGCTACACTTCATTGCTGAACATCACAGATCATGATCATCTAACACTAACAATATAATGTAAAATTTTCTCTAGGGAACGGCAGGAGTTGCTATTGCCGGACTTTTAGGAGCCGTGAGAGCACAAGGAAGGCCGATGATCGACTTTCCAAAGCAAAAAATTGTTGTTGCTGGTGCTGGAAGGTAGTTGCATTCCTAGCAGTGTTATCCAGCATTATAAGATGGAAGGATAAAATTTATAATTTCGTATGATTATACTGTTGATAGTCCCCAGGATCTGTTTCTTTTAGAGAAACATACAAAAAGTAGTTTTGAGCTTTATTCTAAGCTACATTGTTAAGCATATGAAACTTTTAACCATATAATCTTGCTCTTCTTTTGACTCGATTTCTGTGAAGGTTGTAAATTTTCACTTACCATATCAACAATTGACACTAGTACACTTAAAATTTTTAGTCGGTGTGGTAAAACTTAAGTTTCGACTTATTTCTTTTAATGATGCAGTGCAGGAATTGGGGTTCTAAATGCGGCAAGGAAAACCATGGCAAGGATGTTGGGAAACAATGAATCAGCATTTGAGGCCGCTAGAAGTCAATTTTGGGTGGTAGATGCCCAGGTGATCAATCTTTATTCATATTTAAAATTCTGAAGCTAAAAGTTTTTATCTATAAAAGCTAATAGTAAATTTATTACAGAACTGCTTTTGATCTTTTATACTCGCAACCTTGCGACTTCATGATTTTTTTGGGGGAGAATGAAAGTTCATTTTTGCCTACATGCCTGAAGTTTTTAATGGCCTTCTATACTTTTTTATCCAACATTTTTTTAAAATTTGGATTTTGATTCTCAATGTTCATATGAATTATGAGATTATGCTAAATGTTCTAAATTTTACGTGATTGTAAAAGAACCAAGGGTTGAACATAGTGGTTAAAAGCCTTTGGCCATGAGTTTAAAAACTCTTGGAGTTATACCTGTTACCTATTTAGTGCACTGAATAACTCATGAGTTTTTAGACTATCAAATGATGTAGGTTAGGCAATATTTCTAGTTTGGGAAGATGGGCATTGGTTACTTGGTGGGTTTTTGGTAATAATAAATCATAATCCCATCAAAATAAGTTTAGGGGTTATATATATACACATTACATGCTTTCTTCTTCTTCTTCTTTTTTTTTTGGCTTCAACTTTTTTGTACAATTCGTTTATTAATTTTATTTGTTTTCCATTAAAAAGAATACATGTTTTCTTATTTACTAAGATGCCTATCTTATGTCATTATGGCAAAATGGCATATGGTTATGTTACTCTTAAAATGTTAATCGTGCTTACTGCTTATCTCTTTAAACTAACTTAAGTCCAATTAGGCAAATTGATTATTTTACTCGAATTAGAATTGAAATTATGGACTTATTATGCAAATAATGTAAAACACGAAGTATCTTTTTCTTATAAGAGACAAAATTTCATGAAGTTGAATCTCTAGTATGTAGAACTGTATGTATCCTAGTGGGAATTATTCTCACGTTTATATATTTTTATTTGGTTTATCAACATATTTTAGACTTATGAGCTATACTTTTTGTGTGATGAGTTCAGCAAACGTTCTCCTGTGCAGGAATGTTTCATGGTTAGTTGCAATAATCTTCCGTGTTTAAGATTATGTCCATGATACTCTTAGATGTTGTTTTATCATGTTTGCTGTTCTGGGATGACAATTGCACCTGAGTGATGTGGAATCAAACTTTTCCTATATTTGTTAATCGTTTTCTTGTTTTGCCAGGGTTTGATCACAGAGGAACGGGAAAGCATTGATCAAGATGCAAGTCCATTTGCAAGGAAGGCCAAAGAAATTAAACGTCAAGGACTGAGGGAAGGTGCAAGTCTAGTGGAAGTGGTTTGTAAACTTTCCATACTTCTTAGGAATAGCTTATAGCGAGCATAGAGTAATTATGTCTTTGTTTTGGCGTTGACATTTAGAAATTGGAAGTTGTTCAAAAAGGTGGGATTTGAGTGAATAACTTTAATAGTTGTAGGATTCGTATCTTGTTAAAAAAAAACTTCAAATAGTTGTAGGAAAATACTGCAATCTAATCTTTTGAGGCAACATAATTTCATTGTTGGATGTAAATGTTTGTTTCAATTTAGCACTAATGATTTGACGCATACAATAATGGAAGAGGTGCTGTTTCATCCACCTTTTTGTCACAAGGGCTGTAGTCTTTGACGTGTTATTTTTTTCACAGACTTATCAAGCATTTGGCTTAAGAGGAATATAAGAATTTTCAAAGGTGTTGAGAGGTCCTGGTAGGATATTTGGTCCATTGCAGGGTTTAATATGCCTCTGTAGGCATCTATTTCTAAGGATTTTTTAAATTATACTTTAGTCCTTATTCTTTCGGATTGGAACCCTCTTTTTTCATCTTGAGTTCAGTTTGTGTTTTAGCTCCTTTGTTGGGTTGTTGTATTGTACGGCCTTTTGTTTTGTTTAATCTTTTCTTCGATAGAAGCTTGATTTTCATTAACTAAAAATTCCCACTAATGAATACCTACCTCCAAAGGGTGTTTGGTGGCCAGGGCTTGGAATTTTTGGATTGGAACCCTCTACGGTCGACGTCTTG